ATGACCTCTGAGGTCCCTTCCAACCTTCGGCATTCTGTGAGACACCCCGGTTTTGGACTCCTTCACCAGGAGCAGCTGCGCAGGAGGTGCCGGGGCCGCCTGCACGTGCCCCTACGTCTGCGCACACACGTCCCGAGCCCATGAGAGCCTCCCGTACGGGTCAGTGCCGGTTCCTGCGCCGCCGCTGACAGCGCAGCCCAAGCACCGGGAACCCCTCTCGAGTGCAGCCCTGGGCCCAGCGGGGACGCTCCTGGAGACGGTCACGTGCTCGTCCTCTCATCCTTCTCCAGTAGAGTCCCCTCTACCAATTTAGGTTTTGGGGTTTTTATTTCCAGACTTTTTTTTTTTTTCCCCCAACAGATTTTTTATTTTTCCATGCCTTTTACAACTTCTCTTTTCTGGCATGAGAAGCCTGGTGATTGGCCTGTTATGAAATGTTGTGAGAATAACCACTTTTTTACCTGGTTGAAGCTGCTGGTTTCCTGAAAGGCTCCTGCAGTGCCTAGCGGTGCCTCCGATGGATGCGGAGGATGCCGCAGTGAAGCTGCAGGTCTGTTGAACCTGGAGACACGTTTCAGCAGCCTGCTTGCCAAATTCAGGGATTAGGCGTGAACTAAAATCACCTTGAGATGTATTACAGCTCTGAAGTTTTCCCCATAGGATACAGTTCGAAGGGGAGAGGAGAGGAGAGCAAGGTCAAGGGCTTTAACCACTAAAATGKGGTAGTTAGGGCTGCCGCGTAGTGGTGGCTTGGACCTGTGTGTCCTGAAACATGTCAGGAAGGSTCAGTGCCCAGAGGGGCAGGTCGGAGGCAGGAGCCGCCTGGTCTCCCTCTTCGCCTGGTCCTGTCCCGAGCTATGGAGAGGTCCCAGGGGAAAACACCCCAYGCGCCTCCCAGGAGCAGCAATGGGAACACGGGGCCTGGCAACCACTGCACTTCTCTACAGCCAGCACGYGGCGGGGGGTTCATTTTTTCAGGAAATTTTAAGAAATTTTCAAGAAAAAAATCTTTTTTTTTCCCTAGGGTACAGGCTAAGGGTTCCCTGGAAAATGCCTCTCCAGCCTGAGAGCTGCTGGTGGAAGGTCTCCATATAAATGGCTTAGCAGAAAAGACACTCACTGATTTCATTTTGAACACTTAYTGCTCCCTGATATTTCATTGCGTTTGGCATTTGCTGCCAGCACTTTGGAGCCCTTTATGTTGCATTAGCTAACCAGGGCGTAGGTGTCAATGTGTTTGCAAGCAGCCGTGAATTAAGTGTTTTTCTTTGTGCTACCACCAGCAAACAGCACGGGCACCAGCACCACTATTCTCCACCTGAAACCAAATGACTTGGAGCTGGTGTCCAAGCCTCCAGCAGCAGTTTTGGCACAGGCTTAGAAAAGGGAGCTCACATGCAATGGTGCTGTTGGGAAGTGTAATTTAAACTTGGAGCTTCAAAAATTAATTGCAGCTCTTATATTGGCTGTGTTCTGTCTTTCTCGAATTGTGATCTCTTTGTGTTATCAAATGGCCTATGGAAGAAAATTTTGAACAAGCTCTATGCTTGGCACTTTAATGGTACCCTACAATACCCTACAAGGGTTGTTCCAACAAGACCCTACAATATCTGTATGTTAAAAATCCCATGAGAGCTTCATTCTTTTTTAATWAACCAGTCATAGTAAAAGGTCATAAATACAGGAAAATATGCTGCTGGAAAGCTGCATACAGCTCCCTATCGCTCTTTTTAGCATTTTACCACTTTTTGGAAAACTGTCACAATCAGCATTTAAATTTGGTTTGCTTGTAATTTTAAACAGAAGCATTTTGTTTTTGTTTTCATAGACCCAGAAAGTGTCCGAAGAGAAAAACGTGAACAAGCACAAGCACGAATTTAACTTTGAAAAAGTAAGTCACCTGGATCCAGCATCAACATCTCTGTGTGCAGAGGGGTGTATTCACATGCTTGGGAAAGCCCCAGTGGGACCAGAGCAATTCTAGGGAAGGTTGTCTCTTGCAGGGGAGGGTTTCTTAATGCTTGGCTTGGCTGCAGGCCGTGCTGGAGGAGGAGTGTGCTGTGTGGGGAGAGGCGTCTTGCAGCTCCGGGGCCCTTCCTTCTGATCCCTCTGTGACAACAGGAGGGCAGGCACTGCGTGTTAGCTGGGTAGAGATATCAGAATGTCCCTAATATGTAGCATGTGGTGGCTTATATTTTGCTATTTCTGATCTCACATAGAGGGGAAAAAAAAACAGGGTGTTTTGGCATTTTTTTTTCAAACAGCAGTTGGTTTTTRTTTTTTGTCTTTTTGTTCCAGACTCCTCTTCCATAAGCATAACTAGCATTGGGCTGCTTGGTACTGATCGGTTTCACATTTGCATGGGTTATTTTACCTGCCTGGCCTTTGCCTGTCAGGAAAGTGCTGTGATCCAGTGAAACCTGGAGGCTCTCTGCAGTGTTGTCTATTGCCAAAAATGGGGAGGATTTAACCACAGCCTTAGGAARGGTCCTAATTCAGCCCTGCTTCTGCCAGGGTCTACCTGTGCGTGGTCGGCTGTGCGGGCTGTGTAGTCAGAGCTGCTCGGCAGCTGCACGCAGGGCTTCCTGGTGAGGCACTTTGCAGTCAGGGATTTTGCAGTGGCAGATTTTGGGGTTACTACCTGGTGTTCCTTTGGGAGCACAGCTTTGTTTCAGCCTGGACAGTGACAAAATGCCTCCCRTTTCCCGTCCCGCTTTAGGCTCGTTTGGAAGTGCACAGGTTTGGGATCACTGGCTACGAGAAGCAGGAGCAACGCATGTTGGAGCGGGAGCGAGCCATCATGCTGGGRGCCAAGGTAACGGCGCCTTGTCCTGGGCTGGCACATGGGGTTTGGGATTGCTTTCCTTCTGGTTTTCTTTTGAAAGATGAGATACCTTTCCCTGCCCTTTCTCTGAGCTGTTTCTTTTTTGCTCTGACCCAATTTCCTGTTCAGTCTTATCTAGGTTTTTTTTTATTTGTTCATGGTTTTGTTTGTTGAACTATTCAAGCATTTCAGCAGTGATGCCACTTCTGCTCTTTATTGCAGCCCCCCAAAAGAGAACATGTGAACTACAAGATTTACCAGGAGAAAATGAGAGAGAAAAGGACAATGAGGAATGATGATAATGGAAAGGTATGTGTGAAAYTTCTCCATTAAAGAAAGGCAGCATGTAGGAGCTGGTCCGGTAGACTGGCAGATAGTGCCCTGAGGCACAGGAGGAGAGCCTGAGTTCTACACCTACTGCTCCTCAGAGTCCTCCCTCCTGGGACCAGTTTCATCAGTAAGAGCTGGCTGCGTGCAGTACAAAAGGTGCAAAACTGGGCTTTTATGRTGGTAGGTTTCACTGCCTCAGTGGAAGTTGATAGACTGACGACATGAAACAAGTATTTTTTTTCTTGCATCTGGAGAAGAAACGCCTCCAGTTGGTGTTTGATACACATTATCTAACCACAGGGAGCTGAATGTTTAGCTGGGTTCCTATCAGCACCATTACATCTGGGATCTCCCGGGTTAATTAAAGCAGGGGTGAGGTGTGTGTTGCACCCACACAGTCCGGCCTGGCCCTGCTGGCTGCCRTCCTCCCCCGGAGCCCTCTGGTGTAGGTGGGCGCAGGCTGGTGGGCAGGGAGCTCCTCCATCAACCTCTTCTCAGCCACCCTGTTTTCTGGGGGAACCCACTTTCCCTCTGTCCCGTGACTGAGAGCTGAGCCCGTTGGACCGGCGCAGACAAGCTGGGAACCAGGCACGCTGGCCTGGGAGGAAATCGGTATTTTGACACCGGAGCTGTCAGGAGGGAACCCAGCATGTGGGGCTCTCCCCTCGCGTGGCTGGACTCAGCCCCTCGCTAAGGRGCAGGGGCAGCATCTGGGTCATGCAGGGGCTGCACTTTGTGTGGGGTGATGCCCAGGGCTGTGGGCCTGGGGCTCTGCAGCACCTGCGCCGCGTCCCACACGTGCAGCCAGGCTAAGGGCGAGGAGAGGCTGCGCTGGCTCTGCCTGCACGGGGCTGTGCAGCCAAGTGGCTCTGTGCCTTTTCCATTACTATATTTATTAAATTAAATATCTATTAAAATGTCTTTAAAAGCAGGAACATAAGGGAGGCTCTCCTAAGAAGAAGAAGAAAGAACAGAAGGAGAGGTGAGACATTTTAACATGTCAAAAACTACCTTGCTTTTGCTTAAACCTTCCTGCTCTGTTGCCCCTGTGTAAGTATGCGCAGTCTTATACCAGAAGTCACGCAGACCAGAATGGGAGGATCTTTTGTGCCTACAGATGGGCTCTTAGGTGCAAAGTGGCAACCTTAGTCTGTGTCAAGCACTTAGAGGTTTTGGCTACATGGCTTAATTGAAGATATGTCAGTTCTCCTCTGCCGTGTCTAAGGCCRCAGCTGTCAGGGAGGCAGATGGAAGTCCCCGTGTGTGGACCCAGGCTGTGGCCCCTGTCCTTTTTATTCTGAGCATTTGCTGTGAGAAATATTTCTGGCAAAACAAGCTACAATATGCAAAGGCTTGAAAGGCAAAGTGACATTCTTAATTATAGTGCAGCTGGCTCACTGAAATATAACACTTATCTTCTTTCTCCATCTGAAAGTGTGTGTTACCTGCTATAACTTGGTTTTGCATAATACCAAATACTGGTTTCATAAATAGGTTTTTTTTTTTCCACCATATTGATCATTAAAGGAAGATTCTGGTCTTTCTCTTAATACCTTTCTCCCCCTTTATATTTCAGGATGACCAAAAAGAAGAAATCGGTCCCCAGCATTTGGCCTGCAGGACAAGTTGGAAAATTCAGAGATGGGGCCTTGATTCTGCATAGCAGTGACATAAAGAAAATTAAATCATCTAAAGTTATCAAGTGAACTTACAAAACAGAATGAAATGGACAATAAAAACATAATATGTTGCCACCACAATGCATCATTCTTGCTTTCCCACCACCTCCTGACTCTTATCTGGCTTTTAGTTTTGCAGTTTCCCCTTCTTCTGTTCTGCTCTGGTGAGAATATAAGAATCTACCTCACTTTTTTTTCTTTTTTTTTTTTTTTCAATAAATTAAGACACTTTTGTTTGCTATTTTGTTAGCTAACAAATACTAAAGAAAACATTTTACTATTTCTAGAATTCATTTTTTGACCATAAGGAAAATTCTGTTTTAATTCACAACTTTAAGTCAGTGAAACAACATACATGGTTCTTTGTTTTMACCTAGAAGGAATATGTGAAAAATGAATGTGTTTTTGCCCTGAAACTGAAGTAAGTACTCTTAAACACCTCTCAGACATGCATCTGTTTCTGCAACTATCTCAAGTATTAGTGGGACTGCACAACAAAGCTCCGCACTTTTTAAGGTTTCAAAGTTACCTGCTTTGGAATGACATTTTTTTACAAAATGTCACAGGTCAGAGTTGCAGATGTGACATGTATATGTGTGTAGAGACCTCCTATTTATTTATTTATGTATTTCGAAATCCAAGTCGAGTCATAGCGGGGAGAACAGGACTAGTTTCAAGTTCTGAACCAAGTGAGAGTGAGACAACTCTTTGCTACTGTTTGTTTATTGGTAACTCACATTAGTTGTCATCAGTGCTTCCCTACAAGGTGTGACTTTTTTCTATAAAATCTGTCAAATCTAAAGCTTTTGTGCTATTTTATTATTATTCTTACTTGGATAATTTAGTGTTTCTTGTGTTTATGGCTCATAGTGTTGAGGGGCTTTTCTTTGTTGTTATTGTCATTGAATGATCATGTTTCCATTAGAAATGGCAGTTGTTAGCAGCATTGCAAAATGTCTTCACCGTTTTACCTCAACCTAARGAAACTTGAATGTTTTATTGGGAGACAAAAGCAGTGCTAACTAACAAAAGACAGGAGGAAGGCCCATGCTCTCTTGCTTATGGGGGAGGTTATCTTGAGCTTGGCTGAACAGCTTTGCAGTGAAACAGATGTGTATGAGAAGGTAAATAAGCCTTATCAGGGAAGCCAATTTTAGGTGTATTGGTGAACCTCAGCAGACCCAGGAGGGCTCGTGAAGCCCAATTCCTGGCTGCTGCGCTGGGGCCCAAGTGAGGCAGTATTAAGCAAGCAGAGAGGTCTGGGTCACCTTGCAGCTGGCGTAATTCCCCGGCACGGCTGGATTAGGCCGCTTTCTCAGTTTCAGAAAGTGTTCTGGGATGGGGAGACCTGTGCTATAGAGAGGGAGGCTTTCTCACATGCTCCTTTCCCCATCCCTTCTGGGCTAAGTCCTGGAAAAGGGCCGTGCAAATGAAGAGTACGTGGAGGGCTAGGCCGGGAGGGAAAGTGGAGCCAGATGAAGATGGGAAGAGTTAGGTTGTTCCTGGAGCCACATGGGAGGGGACGGGTGTGCAGGGACAGATTGCCAAATACTGTTACAACATTTCATAATTGCCTAACTGGATTTCTTCTTGTTCGGTATGGGTTGCAGATTCAAGCCAGAATTAACAGTCCTGTTTGGTTTGGGAATATGCAGAGGAGAAATGTCAAATCACTATTGCATGCAAAGGTGTAATCACTAAGCAGGATTGAAAACAAAGCACCAGGCTCGCTGAGGCAACAGATAGACTGTCACATCCAAAGCTTAGCCTGTATCCCCTCATTACCAGCTAATCCTCATGCTCACTTTTTCTGGTCTTACTTTTAGGTAAGGTTGGCTTCATCTGGCTTTGAGTATAGTGTGTTGTGGGAGTTATGTCCCCAAATCATCTTGGGTAATGCATATGTTCACTTTCTACATATGCTGTTTCTACAAAAGCTGTTTTGGAGGGAAACCTTGTTGGAAAGGAGCGCCTCATCTTGGCAGTTCTCACCTCAGGCTCTGTAAGCTCTGTTACAGAAYGGGTTGCAAGAAATTTGGTTCCTAGATTAAAAACAAAATTGCTAAGAATTTTGCATTTTTATCACCCGTGTAAAATGTGTATGCATTACAAAAGTTATCTGTTTTATGCTGATGGATTGCTGTTTAACAGCAARCTCCCGTGGTGATTTAAGTTGGCCATGCTGCATCCTGCTAGCACGCTGTTCTCCGTTAGACATGCTGGCTTTAATCAAATTTTATTACTAGATTCATTAAAAAGCCATGATGAGCACTGCCATTTGGCAAACATAACTGCTGAGAACCTTCTACGTCCCTAATGCTTCCGTGGACTGGAATATGTTATTAATTAACAGGGTAGGTAACTGTGTTCAGCCAGCAAGCTGTGTCACTTTTGGTGCATGCACTTACATGCGAAAGCCAGCCCTGACTGAATAGCTAAGTAATTATTGGCCAAGGCCAGCACAGACGACCTTATTTTGTCTTCTCTCAGCAGCAGGATAGGGGAATGAGGGAGAAAATAAGGAATCTTTGTTTTCTTCCCGTCTGCGCCCTATCAGATACTGTGACAACAAGCTTGGCTCTAGTTTCCCAGTACGCTAAAGCCCGTGTCATTATCTCATTATCTCCTATCAGKGTCATTATTAGCAGAGCTTTGGCAAGGGCGCAGGGCTTAAGCGAGCCCTTTGGCAGGGGCTGGGTGTGCTGCCTGGGCAATAGTGCTCAGCGCCTCGCGGCAGGCGCTCGCGGCGGGCGGGCGGGCAGCGCCGCGGCGAGGGGCAGTTCCAGCATCTCGCAAGGCTTCCCCCTTYCCTTCCTGCCCAGACAGGCCTCCTGCCTCCGCCATGCGACTCCCACGCCCACCCGAAGGCCTTTCCACTCAGATCCTTCAGGTGACGTAACTGGAGTCAGCAGAACTTGAAAGCGGTGTCGGAAACTTGTGGAGGCTCCAAAGCCTGTAAGACAGGGTGGGAAGAGGCGGCACATCCCAACATATCCTATAACCAACACAGGGCAGACATAATGGAGTGGTGGGGAGACAGAGAGAGGTTTCATGCGGCTGAATCCAGTGTACCTGTTAAGCCCAGAAATGGATGGTTTTTCTTGGGAAGACATCTGAGCTTTCTCCAGCTAGCAGGTTATTTGGAAAGCAGGAACAAGGCACGTATCAGCACTTGGGCGTATACATCTTGCATGAGTGCCTCGTATGCATTATGAAATAGTTGCAATAAATAGGATACCAATGCTAAATTTGTTGGCAATGTATTAATAATTTATTTAGAAACTGTAAAACAGCATAAACTCATCTGTCAGATTTTCCAAAAGGGTAATAATAATACACAAAGTTTTACTCTGACCAAAAGACAAAACCCATTTTGTTTTCAATTCAAAAAATACAAACTTTTGCCACGGGTACAAAATTATAAAAAGTTGATATTCTCCTCTTGATCTGGTGACAGACACATACAGAAGAGATGTATATTTCACCAGCTCCAAATTTGTATAAGCCACAGGAAATGATGGTAAAGAACAAATGTCATGGTAAGAAGAAAACGCAGGAACAAACTCTTGTCTTTCATTTAACAAGGAGTGAACACCGTTATCTTATTCCTTTGCACTTTTTTGGTTGCCAACATTTAAGTTAGTGTTATTCATGCTTCATAGAACAATCAGAAACTAAGAGCAGTTCTACCTCATGCATTTATTCTAATATTCATCACAAAATGACTTCTCACCATGCTTTCATTCAACGACTTGGGCAGCTGACTATTTTTATTGACAACATTTAAGAGAGGTGGTGGCAGCCACCAGGATAAAAGAATGCATTCTGCATCAAAAAAATGTGCGTGTCGGTAGATATGTACAGACATACATATATGTGCATATATGTATGTATGTTACTCTACAAGAAAATGTTAGGCAAATCCTTGGATTTGCCTGCAATAACAGRTACATAACACCGTTTAACAGAAGGGGAAAATGCTGCTGAGTGCCCATTTCAGTAAAACACACATCTGCCTTCTGTGCTGTGCAAGCAAGCCAAAGTCCTGCACATTTGGTTTTTTGTGGCTTGCATGGCTGCTGCACATCAGAAGACCAAGGGTGTCTTATTTGCAATGGACTTGTGCTCCCGACTGCCACTCCGGTCACTTGTGTGTGCAGCATTCAGCGGTACGGGACRGAGGAACTGATGGAAATGTTGTCAATAAAAAGAAGAAGCAGCTCACTTTCAGCTCACAGCAGAAAAAGAAAGAAAAGACTCCCTATTTTGTTTGGTAATTTTAAGTGATGAGTGCCCTTTATGTTTGCAATGTGTTGCATTTGTTACCATAGCCTGTTGAAGGACTTGGAAGTGTAATCTCCCTTTCAAAGCTGGTCTAGCCAGGATGTTGGGGTTTTTAAGATGGCTCGGCTTGGCTCAAAAGTTAATCATTTGCTTTGCTATTTAAGCAAAAATGCTGGAAAGCTGGTAAGGCCTGAGGTTGGGTCTAGCAACTCTGTTTGCTCATCTTTCTGTTCGAGCAAAGGATGTACTAGAAGGCACCAGAACGTGCTGCTGTTAACAGGCTGTTAACTCCTTATCCCTCCTCACAGGAATAGGTAATACGACCTGTGGTCCAAAATGCACCACCTCTTGTTGGTTATCATAAACACAGTGTTTCTCATGTTGTGCTAGTGGCAGCTTTACCTTGATCTCTCTCTCCCTCTAACCTTGTTTATTAATATTATGATTACATAAGAAAAATTCGTGTATCACATTTCTTCTTGCTCTAGAACTAGGAAATTAGAGTATTTAGGTGTTCTCTGTCATCCTTAATACACTTTGAGAAAATAAATAAATAAATAAATAAGAAACCTAATACAGCACTATGACAGAAACCACCAGCCAAGAACCATTTACAGCAGTACACTATAATGATGATATTTACAACACAGTGGAATGTTATGCATATAGTAAGTTACATTAATACCTTTCCTCTTAAACTCTGATATAGGTAAGCTCATGTYTTTTTATTTTGTTCAGTCCAATATATTTTGCTCTATATCTCTTAACTCTGTAGGCAAGGGAGGTGTTTGTGCTGTTTGCCTGTCTTTTCTTTTACAAGCCAATTTGCTTTCCAAATTCAAGATGCATCACAGGATCCTGCTGTCCTCACCGACATTCATTTTATAGCGTATACCTTTCGACACCAGAAATAATAAGGGCTAGACCTGTGCTCACACTGATGACAAATTTAAGTAGGAGATCTCCCTTGTCTGCTCTTTTGAACTAATGACAGGGAGAAAATGTAGTTGAGGTGCAAGAGCAGCGCCTCCCGTGGGAGGGCTGATGGGGTGCCAGCTGCACGGTTTTTCTAACTGGTCTCACTAAAGTTAACAGGGGAGTTTGCAGAGGAAGGAGCCAAGAATAAGGTTCATAAAGGATATCGTCTGAATACATGAGTAGCTAAGTCCCTTATTGCTCTCCAGGACAGAACGTTATTGTATTTAGCAGCTCTGGAGACATTTCAAATTGACTTATTTGGGACTCAGACTTGATTCTGTTATTAGGGAAGGGTTTGTTATTCTTAAGCATTAAGTCAGTTCACAGATATATGCTCTCTGGGTTGTACTGGACAAGATTCATCCCGGTGCAAACGGCCCTGCTCTCCTGCTTACAAGGAACAACCTGTCCTCTAGGAGCAGAGCAGTCCCACGAAATGCACCTCTGCAGATGTCCTGGTGTTTGGGAAGCAGGACGGGGAGCTTSGAGTCAGAGAGTGTAGCACAAATATCCCAAGGAATCAAGAGGAACTAAGATACACCCAAAGCAGTCCCTTTTGATATCTATAGGATTCTCCAGCCCCTGGGTTCTTCCTGGACAGTCAGCAACACAGTTGCTGCAAGGACCGTACCACTGAGAGCTCCTACCCTCCTACAGCAGGATTTGGGAGGTAACAAAAACTGGCACAAGAGATGCTGTAGCAAGTTAAACAGGTTTATTTCTCTCCTCCATTTCTTCAAGCCATTGCAGAGTTGGAGCCCTGGGGAAGGGCTCCAACCCTGGGGAGAAACAGAGCAGAGAAGCAAAGGAGCCTGTCACTCAGCACAGCAGGGACAGCGTCTCCATATGGACACTGAGGTGATGAACAAGGAGACTGGGTGGTTCATAACTAGAAAGTCCTTGGGGAGTTACCTGAAGAGTAACAAACTACCTCTTGCTGGAGCAGATGGGTGGATGCTCCCCTCTTCTCCCAGCTGTGCCCAGTTGTGTCTTCTGACACAACTCTGAAAAGGGAAAATTCTGTGCTGGCCCCCCGTGTTCAGGGGCTCCCACTGACATGTAGGTGCTCTACATAAATAGTTGTGTGGGGAATAATTAGCACACTTCTAACTGCACTAAGCATTTGTTACTGCTAATGAGACTGCCAAAATGCCCCCATCTGAAGTCTGTGCTCTGTCGGGGTAATTTGATTTATCACTGTGGACTGATTCCAAGTCCTTAAACACATATACATCCAACATACCCACTTTGCTTAGGCCTAAGCTACGTAGCTATTGCTAATACAGGATGCCTGCTTCTAGCTGTCTTCCTTTTATTTGATTTTGCACTAYGTTGAAAGGAGACATCAATGCTGAGATGTGTAGAGAATAAAAAACGAGCTTCAGAGAGCTTCTCTACATAYCTGAAGCACATTGCTACCCACTGTCCTCATTTCCATTAGAGCTTAGTAACCTGCATTGCTRCACTTTCCCAAGGGAACCGTACTCTAGGAACTGGTACCAAAGCAACTATGAAAACCAAAACCAAGAACCACAAACACCTCAACAACACTTCTACAACCCTTTCAGGATTAATTTTAAACATCTGGCAATGGCTGAAGATTGGAAAGACTGAAGTTCATTTGAATGTTCTTCACAGAAGTTGGGAGGATAGACAAAGGTTCAGTCCTTTTACCCAAGACAGTGTTCTTTTGCTTTTTACACTAAAAGCRAAAGTGGGGCGCCTTCTGGTATTAAAATAATCACAGGATGTCTTCCAAAATAAAAAAAAACTATATGCAATTATGTACAGTATAGCCATATACCGCTCTGACAGGCAATCTCAAAGTCTATGCTATGGTTACAACTTGTATGTTCATAAAAGACAGTTTTACATCAAGCACRCTCAAGAGGAAATTCAGGGTCCGGTAGCATTCTAGCTGAGGTAGGTTAAAACAGACCCACTGAATTARAAAATCCTGCACGAGTTCATATGATATCAAGACGAATGTAGCACAGTTATTCCAATGTCTATTGGAATAAAAAAGCTTGTTAGTACAGTCCATCTCAGACTTGGAAGAAAGCACAGTTGCTTTCCCACTTAAGCATTTCAGTTCATTTTCTCTTGCTGTTGATTTTCTTTCCTAGCCCAGTCTTGACATCACTGCAGGTACATTGCAGGGCTGGCTATAAGATGATTAGTTGGTCACTCACAGACTATTCTTCATTTGCTAAAAAGTCTGTGACTATTTCATTCTGGGTTGCCTTCTTTCTGTATCCCCCTCCTCACAGGGCTGGGAGGTGGGTGACATCAGTGAGGATCCCGGTTGCTCTGTCACAGTGAGGCCTTGCCATCACCCAGGGATGCGCTCAGGCTGGGCACAAAAGCAATATGCAGCAATATTGCTGCATAAAAAATCCAGCTGGCTGTCCCAGGAGAGCCCTGGGCTGCATGTGCTGTGGCAAAGGTTTCAGCAAGGCAGTAAGCTGGATTTTCATTAGAATATTYGCTTTCAGGATTAATAATTACATATCTCTTAGCACAGGTGTGTATGTGTATACATATGCTTGGAGAGCAAAGCATATGCAAGCAGCAGGTTTAGTAAAAGGAAAGAGCACATCAATAACACGTAGGAGTCTGTTTTTCTGCTTCACAGCACCACACTTGGGTAGAATGGCTAAATCCTGGCTGGTCTGGGCTCGCGCAGCCTGCTGCAGCTTGCTCATGCACATCACTGCTGTGCACGCACGCTCGTGTCTTCATTTGGTCAGAAGAAAAGACACACACAAACAAATCAATGTATTTTCCGAGAACAGCATGCAGGTGAAAGGACCGTGGTTCTGGGGTGTTCCATGTCAATCAGACTCAAGTTGTCAGGGACAGTACCTGAAATGGCTTCTGGATTTCATSGGAGATGCAAGACACAGCTGAAACTCACAGAAGATTTATGTCCCAGTCCAGAATAATGCTAACATTAAGTTACTTCTAACATTAAGTAATTTATCATTAAGTCTATGAGCCTCTTTTGCACATATGCTTCATTAGCATTAGATATTATTTAGTTCACGCTAGTCTAATAGAAAATTAAGGCTTTTGATCTCAAAGCTGCACTGGAAATGCAAATGCCTGGGATCTATCAGGATCAAGGCTAGGAAGCAGCATGGAATTCTTTGCAGGTGCCATATTTAAAGAAATCTCCTATCAACTCAATTCAAATGCCTCTTCCCTGCACCCTTTTCAAAAGATGTGCTGATGACCACAATTAGATCTTCCATTTGTGACAGTATCTACAATTATACTTAAATGAGAAACACTAAAATATATTGAGAATATTTTTCTATTACTTGTATGTGAATTCTGTAAATAGCAGGTGACAGCTGCTATTTAGCTAAATAGCTATAGATAAAATAAGCAAAACTATGAAAGCATTTGGAAAGCACTCTTGTTCTTTTTGAAGATAAGCGCAAGCTCTGACACTTAATTCTAGAGGAATATAATCCATAGATTATTATAGATTAGAGCAAAAAGGGACAATTATGGTCATTTGAGCTCTTGGATAGCAAAGGAATCTTGACCAGAAATTCTTCCACTGACCTTGCAGCTTCCACTTCAGCTGTCAAAACATATGCTGTCTTGATTTAAGGACTTCAGGAGACAAAAAGAATCCAGTTTATCCCCTGGCAAATTGTTCAAAGAGTTGTTTGCTCCCCACTCTTACTCTTACACATTTTTTCTGCAGTCCTAGCATTTTTTTGAGCATAAATCCAGCCATGATAGACAAAATACACTCATTTTCACCTTTCACTTTTATATATATATATATAAATATATATATATATATACATACACGTACACACATATATACACCCAGGTATGCAATACTGTGTAGATGTGTTCAGGTACCCATTTGTAACCAAATGCCACTCCTGGGAGAATGCTTGGTATGGCTCCTAAATTAAAAATGCTGTGGGTTAGCTGCAATCGGCAGTTTACTCAGTGAAAAGCACACTGCATAATRTTTAAGTTAGGGAAGAGAATCTTTTTTACTGACTTACTGAGAAGTGGCAAATCACACTGAGAGAGCTTACAGAATCCAGCATGTGTTGAGGCACCAGGGGCTTCACTAGTTGCTGGGCAACTTTGGCTGTTTTACACTTTGTGGCACCTCCAGTCCTGTGTGTAGAGTCACCTGCACAAAGAAGAAATAGCACTTAGAAAATAAAATGAGAACTGGGACAACCCCAGCAGAGAGCATTTGTGAAGGCTAAGAGCAAGTGAATGCCAGGGGAAGGGCTGTGGCACTTCAAAGCTAAAGACATCAAGAACACTTAAGGAGATGATAYGGGCGTGGAGGGATGTATCCCTTCTTTTCTCTCTTTTCAATAGCCCATGGTCTAGCAACCATCTTCATCTGGATACCATCTTCATCTCTTCCCAAATCTAGTCACCAGTGGCACGTCTCCACCAGGGCTGTTCACTAGCCACAAAGTGGATGGCATCTTCATAGGAGGGACTCCGAGTAATTCCAGAAAGAGATCATACAGTGAATCTCCTGTATTAAATACAAGAATATCCTGTTGTCTCTTCTGTCCTGGAAGGACAGATCAGGGAGCATTTTAGTGCTTCTGCCATAACCTGACATCTCTGCAAGGCCATGGTTCCACATCACCATTTATCAGCAAACATATGCTTAAACTCAGAGTTTCCCTCTCTCCCTTGTCTGCCATCTCATCCTCTTCTGCATAAAAAAGTGTAAGCCATGTGCATGGAGGTATTTCAAGAATATAGGTAATTAAAATTAGAAGTGAGTTGTGAGTGAAAAATTTGTGTTGAAATATGCAGTGAGGTGCCTAAAAAGTATCTCTGTCTTCCATGTTGGTGCATCAATAACGACATGAAAGCTTCTTGAAGTGTTTGGATGCCACTATTAACTGATATTAAATGTTCATGTAATGACAAGGCCATGTGACATTGCTGATTTCATTTCAGGTGTTTTAAATCGTATATAATTCTTCCACTCCTGGCTGCTTTGATCCTGTTTGACCTAAGTGGACCTTCTTCAGTCTTTAGGCTCCTGGATGTCTCTGTAGATACAGGTCCTAGCTCTCCCTTACACTAAGTCCTGTTTCCAGCCATCTGCAGTGATCTTGAAATAAAAACACATTATATGTAAAGGGAATCCTCCAAGGGGAGGTCCTCTCGAGAACTGCGAGAAATCTCCAAAATGCATGAAGAACAAGAACTATGTTTTTTTCTTTCCTGCAGGACTAATTCTCGGACCTGTGTTGTCTTTCCTCTGCTTACCACTATGCTGCTGACATTTATCTCTTTCTCATGTTAATCATTAGCAAATATGAGATCTAAGACTATTTAAGATACTCATGCTTTTTAGTCAATCTGGCAGAGGAAGACTTAGCACCTTGCTGCTCTCTAAGAAGTGCACCATTGTAGCAGTGTAAGTGCAGGAATTAGTGGGTGTGTGTATGTAATTTTCATTGCTTTTACAACATGATTCTTCACATCTTGGAGGGAAGACTGAACGTTAAATAAAGTTTTCACAAAAGCACTAGTAGCCTAGATGTGAACTTGGGAAGGAAAGAACCTATTTGCATGTCAGCTGCCAACAAATGATATTACTGGTCACAGCAGTAGTGGTGTGCACACATTCTCCCTTCCACGAGCAGGATAAGACTGAGCTGCAGGGACTTACCTGGACGTTTCGGTTGAGGCTTAATGCAGGCATGAAGACACCTTCRATGTTTTCAAATGCTGGAGGCCCTTGCTGCTGCCCGTTAATGTAAAAGGTCAGGTTGTGCTTGTTCAGGTCCAAGAGCACGCCAACAGTGGCACCTTTACAAACTCCCCCTTCAGTCCTAGGAAACAGAAGGAGCACGTTGCTGGTTTAGTGTGTGCCGCATGCCGCAGCTGCTCTCTCCATGGCAAAGCAGCCTCAATGGAGCAAGGGAAAAATGAAACAGCCCCAAAATAGCATGGTTGCCACAGTACTCGTCACTGGCCAAGCCACATCTTTTCCTGAAGCATAGGTACCACATTCATCAGAGCTTAACTGGGGCACTTCTAAGAGAAATCAAGTCTGCCTCATCTCCGATTGCGAGCTATGAGCCGAAAGCGGTGTCCAAAGCTACCAGGGTCAGTTTTCCAGAGGGGCAGGTGTGCAGAGTGTTGCAGTGCTCAACGGAAAGGACAAGCAACAGGAGACTCAGCTCCCCAGACCCTCCCTGCAGGAGCGGAGTGATGCACTGCAGAGAATGAACACCCAGAAAGCTCATTTTTCTGGGCAGTCATTCCTTATTACTATTTCTGCTAACAGCTCCAGACTCAACTTCTGGTTTGAAGTACTCACCTTGAAATTCCCTAAAAAGACCTAAATTTTCAGAGCCAGAACAGATGTACCAGATACTGGTTTTGAGGAGGAAGGGAAGGTGCGACTGATTAGGGATAAAAGCAGCTTTATGACTGACAAGGTGTCCAGCTGTTGGACTGACAACTGTTTCAAGTGCTGGGGTGCTGTTATCAATATTAGTCATAACTGGTTGAGTCAGGAGCAGCTGCTGGAGCTGTCGCTGTATCAGCGCATGACACTCTCAGTCTGCTACCACGGGCATGAATAATTTGACATTAATGCACTTTCTGTTGGGCTTTAGAGAAACCAAGGACTACTTTAAAAAGCACTGAGCAAAAAATCTGCTGGATGGGCAGATGGGCCTTCTACTGGAAGCTCTGGCACTTCGCACATATCATGGGGGCTCTGCAGTAGAATTACAGCCTGACACAATTTGTTCAGGGTAAATCAGATTGTAAAAAAAGCAGAAGGGGAAGAAGCAACCCTTTTTTTGTTCCATGCCCTTCCCTCAGGCAAACTTAGTTCACAAGATAAGTGCAACTTTAACATAACCCATCAGGACGGGTAGCAACAGATCAAAACATTTTAAAAAGCGGGGAAAATCAAAATCCTTTTAGGAATATAGGGCAGAGTAAAGATTTTTTTATCTTGTCCACTAGGTGGCATAAACTGTTTTCCTTTTGACTAATTTATGTGACACATCCTATTTCCTCCAAAATTAAAGAGTTTTTTTTTATCTGTTCCAATGAGCAAAATAGTGTTCTGACCTCTGTTTCAAGCTCTTCAAAGAATAACAACATGGTTACAAATCATGAATTTCGCCTTCAGGTATGTTAGATTTAAAGCTATGCAGTTCTGAAGTTCTTTATTTGCTTTCTAGTACCTGAAGTATCAATAGGTTTGCCTTTGAACTTTTCTCCAAATCCATAAAACATATCATTTTCAAAAAGGTTAAGATGCTTAACTATCCTCGGTGTCTGTTTTGGTTTTATTAAAAACACTCATTAATATCATAAAACTCATGATGATATTACGGGAATGTCAGTGCTATGATCTAGACCCATTTACAATGGTTATTTTTTCCCTGTCAAGAACAACCTTGATTGTGGTGTCCCGTGCTTTATATCCTGCAGTGCTTTAAAATAGATTTTATGACATCTTTTTAAATGACATTGATTCTCCCAGGCAACAGAAGTGGCAGCTTCGCCTTTTTGAGGTTATTAYGCTCTTTCCTATATAGTAAACTCATTTACTTCTTGGGGGCTAATTAGCTGCATGCCCCAAATGGTGGCATCGAATGACTGTCCTTTGCAGCCCTTGGGGCCAGGGGGAGCCTGGGTGGCTCCGCATGCGGTGGACGAGCAGAGCAGGCCAAGCAGAGCAGGCCATGCTGCACCAGCCGGCCTGGGCCTCCGCAGGAGCTGYGGGGCCCAGGTCTGGGTCTCCTCTGCTTCTCGGCCGTGGTTCTTGTTGGACACGAGCTGGCGGGTTGCCCTGCTCCTCCGGCTGCACCTTGCCACAGTGAGCAACAGGCTCCRGCAGGGAATAACACCGGCAAAGGCGGGTGACACATTTCCAGGAGGCTGGACCTTTCTCGAGGCTGAGGAGCRGCTCTTCGGAGCCCCCCACCATGATTTCCCTCAGAACTGGGAATCCCTCAGATTCCTCTTTGAGGAATCCGGTGCTCTTGGGACTACTGTCACGGTCACCTCCTTGAGGAGGAAAGATGAGGAAGTGAACGCTCCGCAAGGAAACTTACACAAGGCATTTCCTGACCCTTCTGTACATCACTTGGACACTATCACACGATTTCTTTTTTTTCTTTTCTTTTCTTTTTTTTTAGTTTAGTCTTAGTTGCAACAACAAAAAATAGCTAGATGAAGAGGCTCAAGGTAATGCTCCCTCATGATACTCTTCCACGGGAGCATATGAAGGAACTGCTGCTTTACTATAATGTATTTTTCAACTGCTTACACCAGCTGTACTGTATGCTCATAATCTGCAGGCCACAAAAAGGAAAACACAACCTTTTGTTACAGTATTTCTTCAGGAAATACTTAGCATTTATTAAATAATAATCAACTTGCGAAGATATGTGCTACTCTAATTTCAAGTAAATCTCAGTTCCCACACCTCTTCAAACAGTCCTGCAAATATTAATTTATTTCTCTCTGTAATACTAAGTGCTGGGTGCTGTGCACAAGTGCTGTAAGTCTGGAAGGCCTGAGTAAAGATGAAGAAATTTGGCTCCTGTGAAAATGTCACTGTCTGTTGCAGCAGAGTCTGTTATTTTAAGCACATTTTCTGCAGCAATTCAGAAAATTTGCAAGAGAGGAAGGAATGTATTGGATTTATGAATAGAGAATAGCAATAAGTTTTGCTATTATTTGCTATATTGAAAAATCAATCTTAACAATTTATGAGTACTGTTTAATAAACCAATGAATTGGCTTAATTACATGTTAATAGTATCATTTGTCATATTTTTGCATATCAGTGCCTCCTCTGCAGATCTTTGTAGTCAGTGAGTGGAGAGACCTCTCCTGATTATAGTGGATTTCTAGATGACACTCCAAAATCTCTAGATTTTGACTTCTCCCAACAGACTGCTCATCACTCTATTTCAGTATAAAACATTTTTATGTTTTCCCTCTCCCCACATAACAACATGGCTAAAATATCACCTATACTCCAAGGTATTCCTGCTTTGGAGAACTTTTCCAAGGAACAGTTCCAGCACCCTGGTTTATTCTCACAAAGATTTAGAGGGATGCAAGCCTATCAAGGCTATTAAGGCTATTAAGGCTGCTACAAGGCTATTAAGGCTACTGAGATGTAGCCTCCATCACAGTAACATCTGAGATCCTAACAGCTGTCAATGCATCTTCCTTGGACAGCGATGCTGCTYGCTTATGTGCTTATCTCCCATGTGGAACAATAATCAGGCAGTGGCAAATGTTCCCACAAGGCTACCACATCTAATGAGTTAACAAATTGACCTACTTGATTGTCGTGGTTAAAAATATAACGCCTAGACCTAAATTCATTGAAGCRCATCCAATTTCACAAGAATACGTGCCCTTTATGAGCGTGTTTCACTCGAAAGAACATTCCACTGGTCCCTCCGTTCCTCGCATGTGCCTGTAAAAGCTCTGTGTTCGAGCTAGTGAAAAATGGGGAACCATCATCAACAGAAATAACTTTGTCCTCCTGTTTAGCCAACATGATTGGAAACCTGAGGTGTTTCCATTGTCTCCTTCCCAATTTTGCTTAGCTGTTGTGCTGCTTGCCGGAAAGACTATGCCTAGCACCAAATCCATAAAATAGGTTTCTGGGACAGTAGCACACACAATGTTTGCCAGCATTTTTCCAGAAAACATAAGCTGTTTCACAGAGCATTAAAATTAATACAGCTTAGCATTACTTCCGCTCTAAATCTAATCAAGATATTAAAGGGACAGAGAACCCTTCCAGAGATTTATCATGCTGAAGTTATTTCACTCTATATTAATTTAGAGTTGATCTAAGGCCTCTGGAGTCAGTGAAAATATTTCCATTGACTTCAGAAAGCTTTGGATCCAGCTATGAAGTCTTTCCATAAAATTGAGCTATAAATTAGAGCAGTGGAAGTGTGGTAGATGTCACCTGCTACTCTTGGAACCTATTTTTTTTTTAGTAACTCACAATTGAAGAGACTRTATTTTTTGTACATCATTTTCCCATCATGGTAGAATAGGCACGCAAATACTTAGATCATTTTCCAAAATACACCAGAGACTCAGCATCCAAAATCACACTCCTTGGCCAAGCTCTTCTCTTGGTTCCCTCAGTACCCAGGTGATGTACAGCTAGGGCCTGACCCTTTTATGGGAAACTGATAGGGAGCGTTGCAGCTCTGAGCTGCTGATACCCAAGAGGGCCCAAGCAAGGCTGAGTCTGTTTCCCTACACAGTGCAGCATCACGTCAAAGAAAAGCCAGCTCTAGGCAGAGTCAACTGATTTAACTATTGCAAGCACTGACAGCCATGCAACCACGGCAGCACAACGTTCTCTCTAATAGGTGTCGTCTCTCTGTGATCCAGCCCTGGAGCTACTGGTTTAGCTCCATCTATAGGACCTCTCCCCACTGTTCTGTTGCACAGAGCACACAGATCCACTCATCATGAAAGATGGTTTGGGTAATGATGGATAAAAGGCATTCCAGCCTTCTCAAATTCTTCTTTTACAAATTGCCTGGACTTGCTGAGACACTTTYCAAAGCGCTTCAATACCGTGGCTCAGTCAGATGGAAATTGTCACTTAGTCCTCACCAGGAAACATTCCCTTGTGTCCAAATCACGCTAGATGTAACCCACTGCATTACATTTGATCAATCAGCTTTCAGGACTGGCAACAAAAACCTATGTTAAGATAGGAAATCACCGTTGTGTTTGCCTAATTATTCTGCATCCCTGTAGCCAAAAATCCTCCTGGGGAGGAGAATCAAATACCTTTCTGCTTGCGCTTCTCCAGCAATGGAAGAGAGATCCAGCATTTCAGATTGTGTTCTGCTTACTGACACTGGATGGGGACACACAGGAACTTGCTTAAATCACACAGGGCTAGATGCCAGGGGAAACTTGCTAACAGTGAGAATAAGAAATATCAATGCAGAATGCTCTGGAAGGTGCTGATGTTGCTGTCACTGGTGTCACTCACCCCTGCCACCACTCATTCCGTGACATGGTGATTTTTAAGAATAGGTGAGACTGGCTCCTGTCATTAATAAAATAGGTACAATTAGCAGGGAGATGGGTTTGCTGAGATCCCTTCCTCATTCGCAAGCAGGAAAAAACAATCAGTAGTGAGCAAATTGCGTGGTGAGAGCTTACCGATTGGTGTGAGAATTGCAGTGCATAAACCAGCTGCGGTTGTTGTCAACATACATGGCCCACGCTTTGTCGTCCTTGCCCAGCATCATGTCCTTGACCACGTTAATCCTGGCGATGCCAAAGGCTGGATCCGGGTGGTTATCATAGCGGTCCACATGCAGTTCCCAGTAATGCACTCCCTTGGAGAAGGCCGCCGTGCCGAGAACTACGCGGTCGTCGTAACTGCTGCACGTGGCCGTCTGGTTGTCGTTGGAGAGCACGATGTCCCTGTGRGCTGAGGAGGGGTCAAAGCTGAACCAAGCCACTGTGCAGGGAGGAGAAAGAAAGGCAGCGTTACAGCAGAACGGGATGTGGAGAAGTGTCACCTTGCTGCAACTAGGAGAATAAGATTCCACCTTCCTAAAGCACCTTCAGGCAGGACTTTACTGCACACTCAAGTAACAGTCTCTCTCTCTTACCACAGACATCACACAAGGCTGCTTTGCACTGCTTCCCAGCTGCTTCTCAGCTCAGAAGCGACTGCTGATAAGTAAGAGAGGAAAGAGAAAGGAAGAGCTCCTACAATCTGCATGGCCTATGAAAACTTGGAATTTGTTTTTCAGTTCATTTAGCATAAAGATGTTGTGGAAATGTAAATTACTCATGCGCCTTATATTATCTGTTCTTGTCTCTTAGAACATGAGCTTCTAGGGGCAGAGACTTTCTTCTCCTACAGTAACAAGAGTCACTGAGGAGACTAAGGCTTCTCCATAGTATAGCAAGAGCTCACATAAGTAAATCAGTTCAGGACTGCCTTTAACAGAAATGGACTTTCATTCCATGTTGGTTAGTACTGATTTCACCAGCTTATCAAATGAAAAAAATAAAAATGAGAAAAAGCTCTTAAAGTATACATATTTTATACTCTTTTGGCAAGATAGCATAAAAGTAGAAGTGATTATTCCCAGCATGTGCTTCTGGATTTGTTACAATATCATTAATGAAGATGAACTTCTTGTAATGCTCATATGGATGTCAAGTATAATTACACAGGAACATGCACAAATTCCCRTTCCTGTCTTATCAAGTCTTACTGTGAAATTGTATCAGTGGTGAAAAAAAACAGAAGTGCCAAAGAAYGACGGAGAAGTGGAGACGGGGAGTGGCATACAAATATGCTCAGAGTGTTGTATAATTGCTTCTGTATGCTAAAACAAATCAGGATCTGTAATTAAGCCCAAATCTCTACTACCAGATAACACTGCATGATTTGAAAGTTGAAGTATTATTGACAATGCAAGATCTCCTAAAGCCTAAAGAATTTTAATTTTATGGTCAGTGAATTTAGGGCTGAATTGTTCCCCCCAGGTACTGCAGGTTCAGTCTTTAGCTCTAGTGCACTTCAACAGCCAACAGAATATGCCTAGGGCTGCATATGCTTTGGGGTATTGACTTCTGCAGATATTCCTGGCAGAATTGATCATCTATATCTGCGTTAGATCCAATCAGCACTGGAAAAGCATGTGCACAGAAAGATGCCTAGAATTTGAGAGCATCTGTGCTCTGGTTCACACACAGCAAGGACAGCAGCAGCCCAGCCCTGCCTCATTGYTCTGCCTTCTCCAGCTCTGACCTGGAGGTTCATGCTAGGAGGGGAGCTCAGGCTGTGCATGCTCAGTCCCTGATCTCTCCACTGAGTGGATCCAAATTCTCTATGGTAATTAGTGACAAATAAATTAGTGGATTTAATGGGGTGCAAGTACCCTGCCACTGAGACCTGCAGCTTTGCATTTAGAAATTGGGGAAAAAAAAAAAAAAAAAAA